TTCCAGTACATGGGCTTTTGTTATCTTTATAACAGAGGTAGACTGTGCTGAACAATGGGAATGGTAGTTACTCTTCATATGATGAATACCCTCGTCATAATGCATTATAAGTATGCCTTATGCCATGTATTATAAGTATGCCATATATTACGCCTTATTAGCGATGCATAATGCATTATAATGCACAACATAGGCTTTAATAACTGCTCATAACCCTGTAACTACATGCATAAAGCATCATGAGCAGGCTGTGTAATGCCAAATTAAGCATTATGAACAGGCTGTGTAAGGCCAAATGAAGCATTATGAAGTATTATAATGCCCTTTATTCTTGACATTTTATTTTCTCTTCCATTTGTATGCAGAAAGTGTACAGGGCTGAAATCAACTATGTATGTCCTCAAAAACGACATGTTCAGACTGGTTCCTACTGCTTTGAAATGAGCATTGTTTCTCAGATGTAATAAAACATTACATATTTCCCTCTCTCTATTTCTCTCAGTCAGAGTCAATTGCATATTGATGCGAGCTGGGGCATTGACTACCTTTACACTTAGAGCTTAGCATCAGTGGATTCTCAGACGTCTGTTCATGCCAAATTGTTTTGTCTGGAAACACAAGATGAATTGGGACAGCAGGCTCGCCTTTGGGGAGAACAATTTGTTTGCATGTTAGCTTTAAGATCCTCTTTTATTTATTTAGATGCGCAAATCTGGCAGGGGCATGAACTTGAACACAAATGCCTCTGGGACAAGAGACAGAAGCCAAGTGAAACTCTTCAATTCTGTCCCAGTTAGTGGTGCCTTTAGAAGCACAGTGTACACACACTTGTACACTGTGCTCTGCGTCCGACACGGTTGAACCTGTGTGGCACATGATGAGGTAAATAGATTTTCTGCATGAGGAGTGTGTTGTATATTTAACCAGTCAAAAGGCCTATAATTGGCAGATTGAATAAACTCCAAGGCACTTAAGCGGTTATTCATTCAATCCTCTGATGTCTCTGTTTGCATCACAAATGGCACCCTATTCCCTACATAGTGTACTACTTTTGACCAGAGCCCTATGGAAGTAGTGCACTAGGGAAAAGGGTGCCATTTGGGATGCAAATCCGAGTGCTTAGGTGCCAGGCTAGCTCTTGCTGCAGCATGTAATAATTGCATGTTTTTTTTGCTGTCGTAATGTAATGTTTGTCTCATTTTCTCACAACAGATAGTTATTGTTATCATTCACTTTCAGAAGGAGGTATTTTTTTTATGCATAACAGCCATCACAACACATTAATATGCATTAATGAGATCCTTATGGACAGTATTGAATTATTTAGGTTAAATACAGAGTTTAGGTATAGTGCCTATCATAGCCCATCATCTAAAGACAGTTAATCACACACACACATAGACAGACAGACAGACAGACAGACAGACAGACAGACAGACAGACAGACAGACAGACAGACAGACAGACAGACAGACAGACAGACAGACAGACAGACAGACAGACAGACAGACAGACAGACAGACGCAGACTGGTCATCTGGCATTTTGGGCAAATGCCATGTGAGCTGGTCCATTTTAAGTCCAGTAGGCCTGTCTAACTAGTTTTCTTTTCTCACAAAATGATATTTATTTGGCTAGTAATGGGGGCCTCAATTAAAAAAAAAAATGGAATGGTGTATTAAAAATGCTTGGGCTGATTTCTGGTCCCAGTCCACCTCTGCAGACAGACACAGACAGACAAACAGACACAAACACACACACACACACACACACACACACACACACACACACACACACACAGACACACACAGAGGGGAGTGGGGGCATAGGCTTGCCATTCCCAAAAAAGGTGCTATCTAGAACCTTAAATGGTTCTTTGGCTGTCCCCATAGGATAACCCTTTGAAAAACTGTTTTTCTTCCAGGTTGAACCCTTTTGGTTCCAGGTAGAACCCTTTTCTGTTCCATGTAGAACTCTTTCCACAGGGGGTTCTACATGGAACCCAAAAGGGTTCTAATTGGAACCAAAAAGGGTTCTAACTGGAACCAAAAAGGGTTATCCTATGGGAACAGCTGAAGAACCCTTTTGGAACCCTTTTTTCTAAGAATGTAGCTTCATGTCATGGAGTATGATAAAATCTCCAAAATAAGTTATGCGCAATTGCGCATCAAGTGTATCCACCAAGTTGGACCAGCATGTTCCAGTGGTGTCTAGGCCTGCAGTTTCTGTAGCCTAATGGAACAGATTTCCTATATTATTGGCCTCAGAGCATCAGTGTTGACTGTGGGCCCAGCTCCACGAGGGGAAAAAAGGGGGCTTAGCCCCCTCAGTTGAAACTTGTGCCCCCTCAGTTTTAGTTTTATGTCACTATATAAAAATAGCAAAAAAGTTCAAATGATTGAGTGACAGGTTGTCTTCGCTGCGCTGTGTCAGCACAATGGACAGAGTGTCGGGGGGCTATGGAAGGCCACTGGGGTGGTTAGGTATGACTCCTTTGGGTTTCCATAAAAAGTGGGGAAAAATGCTTCTCATCTGTGGTAGGCTACTGTAAGTGAATAACGTGATATGCCTCTGCCTGTAATATTTGATTTTGATTAATAAGGGCGGGGTCATGTTTACCATTGAAGCTGCTTTACCAAAGACAGTACAGTATGAAGATAGTCTCAAACTGCTTCTCCAATAGAAATCCCCGATCAAACTTGTAGGCGATGTCATGGCGACGTTGGCTAGCTAAGCTCATGCGCAAAAAATCATAATCGGGTCTAACAGTTGTCTCGCGCCGAACTGCGCATGTGCATGCCATCAAAGGCACTCCTTCGATATAAATACATTTTTTTAAATGAAAAACCCTGTCAGTTTGTCACTTTCACGAAGTTGGAGTAATAACATGTTCAAATACTTAAGACATATAGGTTGTGCCTTTAGATTTCGAGAAACTTAACAAGTAATGAAGAATTGTTCAATTCTCTCATTGACTTCTCAAACCTCAAACCCCGGCCCAGTCTACTTAGTCTGCTTCACAAGCATTCCCAGAAGTCTTGCGATGTTGCATCTCCGGGTTTAGAAACTCTGTGGCTTCACTCAACTCTGCCTCACACCCCACCACTACAGAGTTTAGTTAGCTTCTTAGCTAGCTGTAAAAAGCGTTAGTGTTATTAGCCTTAACCTATTATTGGCCCCAGCACAAGGTGCACCTGTGTAATGATCATGCTCTTTAATCAGCTTTTTGATATGCTACACCTGTCAGGTGGATGGATTATCTTGACAAAGGAGAAATGCTCATTAACAGGTATATAAACAAATTTGTGCACAGAATTTGAGAGAAAAAAGCTTTTTGTACATATAGAACATTTCTGGGATCTTTTATTTCAGCTCATGAAACATGGGACCAACACTTTACATGTTGCGTTTATATTTTGGTTCAGTGTAGATTGTGTCATGCCTTTATCTATCTTATATTTTGTTTACTAGGCCTACTTGGTACTGCTGTTTTGTTCTCTTTGCATTAATTCATTTGCATTAGCAGTTGTGTAAGCCAAACTGCTATTCAGTATTTTTGTTTGTTGCATGAATAACTAGGCTACTACTTTCAGCATTTAGTTTGCAATATTCTGGTAAGACAGCTGTGTATATGGCTGCATTCATATAGGCTGTTTGTAATAGGTGATTTACCCTATCTATCTTGTAGCCTATATTCATTACTAAAACGGCCTTGTTTTAGTGTGCTGGTCGCTGTCCATTGGACTGATACAGCGCAACCGAGAAAGGCGACAGATTTCGCACCAACCTGTCACTTCAAAAGCACTCAATCAATGGTCTTGGAGTCTCGAAATTTGAACTTTATGTTTATTGTGGTAAAGCGTGATATAAGAAGAATGTAATATAATTCAAATGCAAGAACCCCAAAAAATGGTGTTCCCTCACCGATTTCAACTTCCCCCTTTATCCTGGCACAGAGTCTGGTCGACTGCACAGTGGTACACAGCAGCATTGTATTTAAAAATAGAAGACGCCCTCTTCTTGCGCTGTGGAGAGTTGCAGCCAGGTTAACAGTAAATCGTTCCAACGCGCTTTCTGAAGCTCTCTCTCGTTTCATGTCACTATCGCAGTTTGCATGTAGACGCAGCCAAGCTCTTCGCTATGACGCCAGCGACGCTGGGCTCAGAAGGGTTTGATCATAATATTTAACACACCCACCCAGTAAGAGCACTAGACTAGTTCGACTGAGAAGTATAACAGCCACCGGACAAGTGGAAACGAAAATCTCTGCACCTGCCAAGCCGTGTAGCCTACTCTCTCTGCTGTTCCTTGAACGGAAAACGGTGACGGGAGATTAATATTTTTGACAGGATCTGGCCTAGGCTCACATCCAGGTATATTCAACTTGATAGTGCATCACCAGTTTTTTAAAATATCTTCGATTTTTTTGCGTTGCTTTTCTTTAACGCATTTATTTTTGCCTGTTGCTATTTCCTACAAGGACTGTGGCTAAATGTTTTGTCTGAAATTGAATAGAGACTGTCCCTCGGACTTTTAACAAAAATGACGATTGGACAGCATTGACACGTTTTTATGCTCAGCATTGCAGGTTCTGAGGATGGAACAGTGCTTTCGAGACGCAATCGTGCTAAAACACAACGTTTAAAATTCCCTAAACTATTCACTGCTATTACGATTAGATATCGTTTTGTGGTGTATTCAGAATAGCCACAGATCCATTCGATGTAAGGTGCCTGTTCTCCGCAATGAGTCGGCATGTCCATCTGGCTGAATATGAATAATTCAGTATTTTCTAAAAGACCAGCGCTCTGTGCGTAAACATGGAGTTTCTGATATAACACGGATTATGTTTGGAATGACCAGAAAAAAATCTAAAAATGATCTACATTGGGTTTTTGCTCCATATTTCACACTGACTATAATTTCAATCAATATCGGTGTTGTGTACTGCTTTTATGGTTTAGTGATATAACAACTACTTAGACGTGTATCCTGTACAAAATGATCAAGATGATACTGTTTCGTAAATTTCGAGTTTTGATACTCATGGTGTTTTTGGTGGCGTGCACCATGCACATTATGATAGACTTGCTCCCAAAACTAGAGAAGCGAGCGGCGGGATCGGAAACCGGTAACGGTGGCTGCCAGTGCGCGCACAACCCGAGCGAGGAGGCCGGGAGCTGGGGGAAGCAACGCGTTAGGTCGGTGGCGGAACCGGGCTGGCCTAACAAACACACGCTGAGAATCCTGCAAGATTTTAGCAACGAGCCGAGCTCAAACCTCACGTCCCATTCCCTGGAAAAAATCCCTGCCGCTGGGGAGAGAGCGGAGTCTTTCAAACGAATGAAACAGTACGACGGGGCAGCGGATAACCAGAAGCTGCTCATCAGAGACGCCAGCGGCGGTAAAACCGTTGCTGCGCCCGGTGTCTACCGGCTGTCGGCTCTGTTCGAACATCCTTTATACAAGACGGACCTGCCGACCCTCACAGACGACGACACCTTGTTCAACGTCAATACTGACATCAGGTTCTATCCGAAAGCAGCGGGGAATCAAGAATGGTAAGGTGGGGATAAAAGGAAGCAGGCGTATCACCTTATAAGAAATCAAGGTGACAGGTGTATAGTGCCATAAATTGATTATTACACTCAAGCAACAGTTACTTAAATTGACTTCCTCCCTGGCTTTCTCTGTTTGAATTAAATGAATACAAAAGTGATATGAATATAACTAATAGTCCACTTGTCCAGATACTTTAACTGAGCATCAGTCAGTGTACAATCTCTGCTCGCTATCCACTATATCCTGTAGCTTAAAGGCTACATGACTATATACATTACTTATTGCCCATATGCTATGCATTGCACCTGCTGCAAAGCAGTACTCCTGTATGCTAACCATTCTCTATCTATCTATCTATCTATCTATCTATCTATCTATCTATCTATCTATCTATCTATCTATCTATCTATCTATCTATCTATCTATCTATCTATCTATCTATCTATCTATCTATCTATCTATCTATCTATCTATCTATCTATCTATCTATCTATCTATCTATCTATCTATCTATCTATCTATCTATCTATCTATCTATCTATCATTTCTCCTCACACTCTCCATTCTCTGGGGATATCATTAACTGGAAGACAATCCAATCAATCTATTCAACTCTTCCTCTCCACCTCTACCGTTGTGGAGTGAATGAACTATCCATCCATGCACACTCAAACGATGCCCTTTCTTTTTATCTGAACTGTGATGGTTTTCTGAGCACCCCCCTACCCCATGCACTTGTAGGCTACTTGCCTATCTTATTCTGCCGTGGTTTACTGTAATATCTTATGGTCTTCTAAGAACCTATCTTATTCTGCCGTGGTTCACTGTAATATCTTATGGTCTTCTGAGCATTGGGGGTAGGCATACTATTTTCACACTTATTTTGTTATTGCAATGTAATAACTTAATTAAGGATAGAGAGTTTGGCCACAGAAAACAAACACTGTTTAAAGTAGGCATACAGATGTTAGGTTATTTGATTTGATTGTAGCCTATGTATGACTTCAACAACGATGCTGTTTATGTTCAATCATGTGTAAAAAACATATTGATTGAATTTCAATTTTACACCTTAATTAAATGTCAGCTTCCTTGAAATTGCATGTAGGACTCTACTTTGACTGCCGGTGTGATATTTGATTTATTTAGTGGCATTTGATTAGACTTGATAATCTGGATACGTGGGGCGGCAGGTAGCTTAGTGGGTAAGAGCGTCGTGTCAGTAACCGAAAGGTCGCTGGTTCTAATCCCTGGGCCGACTAGGTGAAAAATCTGTCGATGTGCCCTTAAGCAAGGCACTTAACCCTAATTGCTCCTGTAAGTCGCTCTGGATAAGAGCATCTGCTAAATGACTAAAATGTAATGTAAAATATAATCATAAAAATCTGAAATACATCCAAGCCCAAAGCGCCATGCTCTACCAACTGAGCTACAGGGGACAATACATTGACAGTGGAGCCCCTCCCCTCTTCTCCTTTCCTACAACTCATCCCTCACGTCTGTCCTCCGTACACCAGGCACAATGAAGCCAACGTGGAAGAGGAGGAGTACCCCCCTACAGGGGAGGTGACAGCTGAGTCCGACCCCAACTGGCTTCGCTTCCACATCGGTATCAACCGCTACGAACTCTACTCCAGACACAACCCTGTCCTGGACTCCCTGCTCAAGGATCTGGTCACCCAGAGGATCACCAGTGTGGGTGAGTCTGGGGGAAAACTAGAAATTCTAAGAATACTGTGCTGTGCATCTCTATGAGACTGTTGTGTGTATTGGATGGATGGATGGATAGATAGCGAGAGAGGGAGGGAGGGATGAACTATGATACACACATAGACACTTAAATAAAGGCATTATATAGAAAGCCTTGTTCAATCAACTGCATCCTGTGCTTTTGTCCCAATCCTGAGTTTCAATTAAACCCCCTTTTATTTTTACCTGAGGCCCTTGTTACAGATAGCAAATACGTTCAGAGGAAGTGAAAAATAGATGAAAAGCCATTAATGCGTCTGTGTCAAACAGTTTGGCTATGGAAAATAATCTGTCAGACCTCAAAGCAATCATACAGAGTGCTTAGGTGACATTATGTGGTTGTCGCAGGCCAAATGGGTCCCCTCTGTGACTGCTACTGTTCCCACTGGAGAGCTACTGCTGCAATGAAGTACTGCCTCCCTCGCTCAAGAGCCTGAGGTCTGCCATGTCATAGACGTGTGTGTGTGTAAGGGGGGCGGTGTGGCTGTGTGGGTGTGTGTACGGGTGTGCTTGTGTGTGTGCGTGCGTGCGTGCGAGGGATACATATGTACATAGTCTCATGTCTATGCTGATGTTTGTGTGCATGCAAAGACTAGGGCTAAAATAAGAACCACTGCCCCACGCCATTGAAGTTCCCTCCAGCATTGATATTAGTTCCTCAATCACTCCCGGACAGCGTGTAATCACTCATGCTCCATGGCATCTCTTGTTCTATGTGTGTCACCCACTGTTTCCTTTGCATTGCCCATCAATCAACTGCATCTGCACTCAGAGACGGCCATATAAAACGATGTGTGTGTGGGGGAAGGGATGGGGGGGTTGAGGAGGAGTGTGTGTGTGTGTGTGTTTGTGTGTGTGTGTGTGTGTGTGTGTGTGTGTGTGTGTGTGTGTGTGCGTGCATACTGTACCTCCACACAGACAGCAGCCTTCCCAATCAGTCCAGCCTGGATCAGTGAGAGAGAAAACACAGGGGGCAGATATTTAGGAACGTTTCCACTTCAGCATTTTTCCTGCTGATAATGTTTTGTTGAGCCTGTCTCTCTGTAAAGATATGGCCTTTTTCTCAGTGTGCAGAACATCTCATAACTCATACATCTACAGCAGCCCAGGTGTGTGTGTGTGCATGTGTGTGTATGTGTGTGTATGTGTGTGTGTGTGTGTGTGTGTGTTCGTGTACGTGTACGTGCGTACGCCTGTCTGTGTTTGAGAGAGAGGGAGTGAGAAAGAAAGAGAAAGAGAGAGAGAGAGAGAGAGAGAGAGAGAGAGAGAGAGAGAGAGAGAGAGAGAGAGAGCGAGAGCTACGCATTCATCATTATGATACAGAAGTGTTCCACCGAGTGGGAGCTTTTGTAAAAAAATACATTGTCATTCATGAATTCAGGGATGCTCAGATAGAGAGGGCACTATAGATGGCCATCATAACCAATGTGGAATGCATAGCAGTGCTTCTACTATAGGTTACCGTGACTCACACTGTAGGCTACTCTACGCTAACGCTGGCCTAGTTTCAATCCACTTGAACGATGAATCTCATTGGAATGTTTCATCAGGGATGACCTTTTTGAGTTTTGTTGATTAGATCAGCGCTTCCCAACTGGTGGATCGCATCCAGTTCCTTTTGGATCACGGGTCGCGGCTTATGATCAGTGTCCTAGATACAAACAATGGTTTTGTTTATGTCATGGGGGCGGTTCACAATACATTTTCGAAAACTATATATAGGCAGGTCACGGTGGCAAAGCGTTTAGGACAACTAAAGGATTAATGTTAGATTATCTGATAGTACTATCAACATGACCCAGCTACCGGAAAATCTAATACATCTTGCCCTATAACAACAGACAGAAATATACACATTTCTGCTTTGATCGACATTAAAGGTATTATATAGTTATGTTATAATACCCTCAGTGGTTACTCAGTGACTACTCTTTCATTCTGTATCTCTGACTAGTCACCTCTCTCTCAGCTCTCTCTGCCCTGACACACTGAATAGGTGCTTGGTGTACTGTGCCTGTAGGTGTATTCTGTGTGCACTCAGGGGTCAGGATAGTTTGTCCTCGGACAGCCTAATATGTGCCCTTAAAAATAGGTGGAGTGGAGAAATGGTAAGAGAGAGAGACCCAGCTGGTGGAGAGAGAGAGAGAGAGAGAGGGAGAGAGAGAGTGAGAGAGTGAGAGTGAGAGTGAGAAAGAAATAAAGAGAAAGAATGAGAGATTGAGAGAGAGAGAGAAAGAGAAAGAATGAGAGATTGAGAGAGAAAGACAGAGAAATAGAAAAAGTGAGTGTGAGAGCAAAGGAGAAAGAAAGAGTGAAAGAGGAGACTGCAGGGCTTGTTTACATTGTGGTTAGGCAGAGCTGCAGGGTTGTGTAATATGCTCAAGTTAATGCTCTGTAATAGATGGGAAAATCCCCTGAAAGCCTGTCCATTATGACAGAAACACAAACCATTTAGACAGCCCTCTCAGGCCTTTTGTTAGACAGATAATCAGCGTGTCTGATTTAGCCTGGCCCACTCCATCCGTGTGAAACGGAGCAACGGACAGATCTAAAGGGAAAGATGGGCGTAGGTAATAGTCCTGTACTTTTACACGGGCAGAGAGTGAGTTTAGTGTTGGAGTTCAAAGACTTCTAGCCTCCTGGGTAGTCTGGAGTCTTCCAGTTACTGTACAGCCTAACCAGGTCCAACTCTAACAGGGTTATTGAGTCTTTTCTTTACAATAAGGAGGAGATCCATACATGGATTGAGCTAAAGTGTAGTAGCTCATGTTTCCTGCATAATACAGTGTCTTTGTACATCACTGGAATATGATCACTGAAAAGAACTGAAGGCAATTGTTTGGTAAGACCTCCTATGAATACACATATAACTGTAAGTGCATTTACAACACTTCAAAATGCTTATAATGCATTATGAAGAGGGTTTTCATAGAAAGTGTTACCAATCGTTTGTTTTATTAGGTATGCCTATGTTATGGTAACACACACACACACACACACACACACGGAAAAACAAAGCCCTTGGATTGTGTTCTCTGTCACACTTCCCACCTAATCAGCCCAAGTCCCACCTGCAGGTGCTTGTAGAACACCCCCTCCCCAACACACACACACACACACACACACAAACACACACACAAACATACACACACACACACACACACACACACACACACACACACACACACACACACACACACACACACACACACACACACACACACACACACACACACACACACACACACTTATCTATGTTACTACCTGCTACAATCTCATTATGTTGATGCACAATGACTAGCAAAATGTGTAGCAGATGTTTGCTCCTGTATGTGAACACTCTTAGAAAAAATGATTCCAAAAGGGTTCTTTGGCTGTCCCCATAGGAGAACGCTTTTTGGTTCCATGGAGAACAGTCTGTGGAAAGGGTTCTACATGGAACCCAAAAGGGTTCTACATGGAACAAAAAGGGTTCTACCTGGAAACAAAAAGGGTTTTTCAAAGAGTTAATTTTATGTGGAAAGCCGAAGAACCATTTTAGGTTCTAGATAACAGCTTTTAGGTTCTAAATAACTCTTTTTTTAAAGAGTGTACTGTAGCGGGGGGGGGGGGGGGGTGGCAGAGAAAGACAAGCAACAGCAGCGACAGCAGCGAACAGCCTGCTCTGCCCCTATCGAGCCTGCTGCTGCGCTACACTGCTGCTACGCTGCACTGTCTACAGTGTGCAACTTCATCAACAAGCTGTCAAACTATTGTAAATAAGTGACAAGCTACATGCTGTTTATCAGTGCAGTTCCCAACATCCTTAGCTAGCTAGCTAACATTAAATCCCTGTGTTTGTCAGTGAAGTTAGCTAGCAGCAGGCAGGCTACAACAAGCTTAACCAGCTGATGAAATCACTTGCGACCGATATACTTGCACATCTCACTGTCTATCAGAGTATGTGTCTGTCTGCCCCAGTGCCTGTGTTTCTTAGCTAGTGACTCATACACAAGACAGGTCCAGTGGCACGTATTCATGGTTGCCCAGGGAAGCCAGGCTTTCCCCCAAAATTGACCAATGTTTTTTTTTGTTAACATTAAATTATTTATCTTTCGTCTCTCTGTGTTTCATAATTTTCCTACAATTCGCAAGAGAGTGAATGTATCTCACAGGAGAAAGCATACGAGCGAGCGAAACAGCGCCTCTCTATCTCTCTACGTGTAGGCCATCTATCTGATGCTGTCTGGTTCAAACGAGCATTACATTGTTGCCGCCCGTAGCATTGAATGCAAGGGAAGCTAGCGAGCATTTGGCCTCCCTTGATTAAAAAAATATTAATAATTAGCCAATCAGCGCTGAGCTAAACTGAGTAAGCTCAACTGTGAATGGTCCTGGCGCACCAAAACAAAGTGTCAAAGGAAGCCAACTTGGATTTTGGCTTCACTCAAATCACATTGAGAGCATATTTCATTGACAGAAACAACTTGAATTGTTGCATCTCCTTGTGTTGTTGTCCTCTGGTGGCTAGCTAGCTAGCTAGCTAGCTAAAATTGTCCCTTTCCTAAATTAGCCATGGATGGAAATAGGGATTTGGACTTGTGGTTTTACTTAATTCTCTGTACTGGCCAATGATTATAACGGCGATTCTGATCCAACCATTAATTCATACATTGTTGTGCCCCTGGCCTGATAGGATGGAAGTTCAATACAGTGGGGAAAAAAAGTATTTAGTCAGCCACCAATTGTGCATGTTCTCCCACTTAAAAAGATGAGAGAGGCCTGTAATTTTCATCATAGGTACATGTCAACTATGACAGACAAATTGAGAAAAAAGTCCAGAAAATCACATTGTAGGAATTTTAATGAATTTATTTGCAAATTATGGTGGAAAATAAGTATTTGGTCACCTACAAACAAGCAAGATTTCTGGCTCTCACAGACCTGTAACTTCTTCTTTAAGAGGCTCCTCTGTCCTCCACTCGTTACCTGTATTAATGGCACCTGTTTTGAACTTGAATCTGCAATAGGTAAGCAGCTTGGTTTGAAGAAATCAACTGTGGGAGCAATTATTAGAAAATGGAAGACATACAAGACCACTGATAATCTCCCTCGATCTGGGGCTCCACGCAAGATCTCACCCTGTGGGGGTCAAAATGATCAAAAGAACGGTGAGCAAAAATCCCAGAACCACACGGGGGGACCTAGTGAATGACCTGCAGAGCTGGGACCAAAGTAACAAAGCCTACCATCAGTAACACACTATGCCGCCAGGGACTCAAATCCTGCAGTGCCAGACGTGTCCCCCTGCTTTAAGCCAGTAAATGTCCAGGCCCGTCTGAAGTTTGCTAGAGTGCATTTGGATGATCCAGAAGAGGATTGGGGAGAATGTCATATGGACAGATGAAACCAAAATATAACTTTTTGGTAAAAACTCAACTCGTCGTGTTTTGGAGGACAAAGAATGCTGAGTTGCATCCAAAGAAACACCATACCTACTCTGAAGCATGGGGTGGAAACATCATGCTTTGGGGCTGTTTTTCTGCAAAGGGACCAGGACGACTGATCCGTGTAAAGGAAAGAATGAATGGGCCCATGTATCGTGAGATTTTGAGTGAAAACCTCCTTCCATCAGCAAGGGCATTGAAGATGAAACGTTGGCTGGGTCTTTCAGCATGACAATGATCCCAAACACACCGCCCGGGCAATGAAGGAGTGGCTTCGTAAGAAGCATTTCAAGGTCCTGGAGTGGCCTAGCCAGTCTCCAGATTCAACCCCATAGAAAATCTTTGGAGGGAGTTGAAAGTCCGTGTTGCCCCAGCGACAGCCCCAAAACATTACTGCTCTAGAGGAGATCTGCATGGAGGAATGGGCCAAAATACCAGCAACAGTGTGTGAAAACCTTGTGAAGACAGAAAATGTTTGACCTGTGTCATTGCCAACAAAGGGTATATATAACAAAGTATTGAGAAACTTTTGTTATTGATCAAATACTTATTTTCCACCATAATTTGCAAATAAATTCCTTAAAAATCCTACAATGTGATTTTCTAGATTTTTTTTTCTCATTTTGGTCTGTCATAGTTGACGGGTACCTATGATGAAAATGACAGGCCTCTCTCATCTTTTTAAGTGGGAGAACTTGCACAATTGGTGGCTGACTAAATACTTTTTTTCCCCCACTGTATGTAGCTAGATGTAGAAGGCTAACTAGCTAACGTTTCCCATGAATGGAAGTTAGGCTAGCGAGCAAGCAGTTTAGCCAGGTAAGCCTAGGACAACACAAAAATAAAAGCATGTACTGTATGACAGAGTGATAGACCGGTTCATCAACATGAAAGAGAGGAGGATGGCGTTGGAATTTCTCTACAAGTAGGGTGAGTCAACATGATTGTCTACTTGCACGAACACGCACGCACACACACATAAATCAGAACAATGGACAGCCACATCATATTTAGCTTATGTTGATTGGACTAAATAGTTTTTGGTATCTTTTAGTTGTCACTGTATTAGACTAAGCAGAGTTGATTTGATTGAAGTTGAAATGGTGCTGGAATAGTGGAGGCAGCTCCTGTTTTCTTTGCGACTTGCGGTAACTCTCTGTGGTTCTAAATCAATAGTTTAGTGGTCCGAAAATGTCGGAAACATTAACTTTCTTGACCATTCTGTAGGTCATGTAACTGTTTGTTACATGCAATATGTTTTGTGGACTTTACTGGACAGATGTTGCTCTCCGGTTTTGTGATGAAACAAAGGTGTGGTTGAATTTATTCTGCCACTGTGTCTTCTTATTTTCTCGGCCTTTAGGCCTATATATCATGGTCGCAAGGCATATGAACTAACAGGTTATAGAGCAAACAATGTGATTTTACCCACACACCACTACTGGACAGGTCGAGGGAGACGATGCTTGCAAATGTATTTATATTAAGTGGCAGTTGGGACATCGAGTATGCATCGTCTCAATGCTCATTTTGGCTAAAACACCTTCGGACTCGAATTATCACTATCAAACACAACAGTAAGTGGCCACTCGATAAAGGGCTTAGGAGCCAAATGTTCGGTTTGAGATTCAGCCTACTGCGGTAGATAGAACTTCATTGCCCCCCTAGCGCTCATACGCGATAGGAACATATTCTGCATTGTGAATTCATGTGGAAAACCGATAAAAAGATGGCTGTTTAATCGTTAAGAAAATGTTTCAATTTGTCACATCCCTAGTGGGGAGGGGGGGGGGGGTCATTGGTGTGTGTGTGTGTGCCTGTGTGCGTGTGTGTGTGTATGTGTCTGTGTCTCTGTACCTCAAGATGGTAAAGTAAATTGACCTTTTACCTTTTGTCTCTTCCCTAAACAGCCATGAAGTCAGGAGGAACTCAACTGAAGCTCATCATGACTTTCCAGAACTACGGACAGGCGCTGTTCAAGCCCATGAAGTAAGTACCAATCGTTTGTATAAAATGTACAAGATGGATCAAGGATGACCTACCGGACATCTCTTCAAGTAGTGTCTGTAGTGTCTGTTGCAGAGGGAAAACATGTTGACAAAGAAAATACCTTCAAAGCCCCCGTTCTATCATCTATTTATGAACGTTCATGATATCATAATACATTGCGTTTGCCTATTTATGCCCTATTTATACAATTTTTTTAATTTTAGTCATTTAGCAGACACTCTTATCCAGAGCGACATACAGTCAGTGAGTGCATACATTATTTGGCTCCCCGTGGGAATCGAACCCACAACCCTGGCGTTACAAACGCCATGCTCTACCAACTGAGCTACATCCCTGCCGGCCATTCCCTCCCCTACCCTGGACGACGCTGGGCCAATTGTGCGCCGCCCCATGGGTCTCCAGGTCGCTGCCGACTACGACAGAGCCTGGATTCGAACCAGGATCTCTAGCACTGCGCCACTCGGGAGGCACACACATACCCTATGTATACCCTATTTATAACCTATGTATACCCTATGTATGCCCTATTTATGCCCTATTTATGTCCTATTTATGCCCTATGTATGCCCAATTTATGTCCTATTTATGCCCCATGTATGCCCTATTTATGCCCTATTTATGCCCTATTTATGCCCTATTTATGCCCCATGTATGCCCTATTTATGCCCTATTTATGCCCTATGTATGCCCTATTTATGCCCTATTTATGTCCTATTTATGCCCTATTTATGCCCTATTTATGCCCTATTTATGCCCCATGTATGCCCTATTTATGCCCTATTTATGCCCTATGTATGCCCTATTTATGCCCTATTTATGTCCTATTTATGCCCTATTTATGTCCTATTTATGCCCTATTTATGCCCCATGTATGCCCTATTTATGCCCTATTTATGCCCTATGTATGCCCTATTTATGCCCTATTTATGTCCTATTTATGCCCTATGTATGCCCTATTTATGCCCTATTTATGCTCCATGTATGCCCTATGTATGCCCTATGTATGCCTTATGTATGGCCTATGTATGCCCTATTTATGCCCTATTTACAGTGAGGGAAAAAAGTATTTGATCCCCTGCTGATTTTGTACATTTGCCCACTGACAAAGAAATGATCAGTCTATAATTTTAATGGAAGGTTTATTTGAACAGTGAGAGACAGAATAACAACAAAAAAATCCAGAAAAACGCATGTCAAAAATGTTATAAATTGATTGGCATTTTAATGAGGGAAATAAGTATTTGACCCCTCTGCAAAATATGACTTAGTACTTTGTACAAAACCCTTGTTGGCAATCACAGAGGTCAGACGTTTCTTGTAGTTGGCCACCAGGTTTGCACACATCTCAGGAGGGATTTTGTCCCACTCCTCTTTGCAGATCTTCTCAAAGTCATTAAGGTTTCGAGGCTGACGTTTGGCAACTCGAACCTTCAGCTTCCTCCACAGATTTTCTATGGGATTAAGGTCTGGAGACTGGCTAGGCCACTCCAGGATCTTAATGTGCTTCTTCTTGAGCCACTCTTTTGTTGCCTTGGCCGTGTGTTTTGGGTCATTGTCATGCTGGAATACCCATCCACGACCCATTTTCAATGCCCTGGCTGAGGGAAGGAGATTCTCACCCAAGATTTGACGGTACATGGCCCCGTCCATCGTCCCTTTGATGCGTTGAAGTTGTCCTGTCCCCTTAGCAGAAAAACACCCCCAAAGCATAATGTTTCCACCTTCATGTTTGACGGTGGGGATGGTGTTCTTGGGGTCATAGGCAGCATTCCTCGTCCTCCAAACACGGCGAGTTGAGTTGATGCCAAAGAGCTCCATTTTGGTCTCATCTGACCACAACACTTTCACCCAGTTCTCCTCTGAATCGTTCAGATGTTCATTGGCAAACTTCAGACGGGCATGTATATGTGCTTTCTTGAGCAGGGGGTCCTTGCGGGCGCTGCAGGATTTCAGTCCTTCACAGCGTAGTGTGTTACCAATTGTTTTCTTGGTGACTATGGTCCCAGCTGCCTTGAGATCATTGACAAGATCCTCCCGTGTAGTTCTGGGCTGATTCCTCACCATTCTCATGATCATTGCAACTCCACGAGGTGAGATCTTGCATGGAGCCCCAGGCCGAGGGAGATCTGATTGATTGATTGCTTCTGTGGACAGGTGTCTTTTATAGAGTGTGCTCCTAATCTCAGCTCGTTACCTGTATAAAAGACACCTGGGAGCCAGAAATCTTTCTGATTGAGAGGGGGTCAAATACTTATTTCCCTCATTAAAATGCAAATCAATTTATAACATTTTTGACATGTGTTTTTCTGGATTAGTTTGTTGTTATTCTGTCTCTCACTGTTCAAATAAACCTACCATTAAAATGATAGACTGATCATTTCTTTGTCAGTGGGCAAACGTACAAAATCAGCAGGGGATCAAATACTTTTTTCCCTCACTGTATGCCCTATTTATGCCCTATTTATGTCCTATTTATGCCCCATGTATGCCTAGGCCACCATTTACTTTGCTTCTTTTACTCTTCTTTACTCTTTTAACATCAACATACTATATCATACTCCCTGATGTGCTTGATCAACTAAAGGAATTAACAAAGTGCTACCTAAAAATCAGACATTTTATTGAAGGGAAAAACAAGCAGAATAAATGGTAGACATTTCAACTGCTGCGCTCGTGACTGGTTAGGATCCATCATTTATTTTCTGTCTGATCTTTCCTAGTGGGGAATGATAAGTGTGTTCAATGAATGAATGAATTAACATCAACAGGATTATGTGTTAATTAAAAAGAGAACCCAGAGCCGTCACACCAAGCTCTTGAGGAATACATTTTGCCAGAATAAGCGCGGCACATAAAAACCATCCAGCTGAGTTATTATGCCCAGTGAATTCCCCACCGTTAAAACAGACAGTGTGTGTGTGTGTGTGTGTGTGTGTGTGTGTGTGTGTGCTTGTGCCCTTTTATGTGAGTGTGTGTGTGTTGTGTCTGGGCTAACTCGCCTGTGATCAAACAGTAATTGCTCAAGAACCCACTTGATCGCTTTGACATATTGGATGCTGCCGTAGCCTTTGTTGTAGTTTTTATTTTATTTTTTATTCAACATCGAAGTAAACATAAGAGTTTAGCTAACAGAAAAGTGTGATAACTAATTAAACCCCTATGGGTCACCACAACATCGCGCCTGCAATGAAGAAGAGGCAGCTCAGGCTTTTCCCTCTGTGTTTAGTTTTCTGACTGACTTTAGACGAGGCAATGCCTAGAAGTCCCCTCTCAGAGGTTCCAATAGTGTTTGCAGAAATATGTATGATTCTGTGATGTCCCTAAGCCACACACACAGTTGGGGAGGCAGGACAGACTGAGGCTGTCTCGCTGATGCTGTGTGTGTGTGTGTGTGTGTGTGTGTGTGTGTGTGTGTGTGTGTGTGCATGTGCGCGTGTGTGTGTTTTGACTGGGAGTTGTGCCTCAGCACATGTCAATGTTCACACTGTTACTGTTAACATGCAGAGTTACTGCCTTGGCTGTCTCCTCGAATCATTCAGCAAGTCCAGCTGAGCATAGAGCTCATTTGGCTGGCTAGCTTTGGGTTAGCTTTGGTATAGCTTTGCGCTAGCTTTAGGGTTAACTATGGGTTAGCTTTGGGCTAGCTTTAGGCTGCCTTTGGGTTAGCTTTGGGCTGGCATTAGGCTGATTATGGGCTAACTTTTGGGCAGACTATGGGCTAGCTTTGAGCTAGCTTTGCTTGGCTGGCTTTGGGCAACCTGTGGTCATTAGATTGGCAGGTTACCATCATGCAATCCACCAACTCAACCAGTCCAAGGTGTTTCTTGCATGTGAGAAAATGATGTGAATTGAGATGGTAGAAAGCCAGCTGCACTTAGGGTGTTTGAAATACAATATATTGAATGATAACAGTCATTGGCTATAGCAGTTAATCTAGAAAAACACTCTTGAGAGTCACACCACAATAACAATTTTTCTTTTTCATCAGATATGATTGCACAAGTCTTTAGTCTAGCTATGAGATGAGACATAGTTTTAAGTTGTCTTGCATGTAATGATATGTTATTAACCCTAAATCTCCTAATGACAGGTCTGAGATTGCACTAGACTTATTATTAGTGTGAGGGATGAACTTGAGTGGAATGATGAGTGTCTGTGGTGCATCATGTACGGTTTAAAGTTCCTCATAGGACAGATGGGTACTGATGATACTGAAAGAGTGAGTAAGAATGTAGAATGTACAGGTAACTGCCCAAAATAAAGGAAACACCAACATAAAGTGTCTTAATATGGCATTGAGCACCACGAGCTGCCAGAACAGCTTCAATACTTCAATTTGTTGATGATGGTATAAAATGCTCCAGAATCTCCCATAAGTGTTCAATTGTGTTGAGATCTGGTAACTGAGACACACACACACACACACCCTTTAAACCCCTTATGCTCCTTTGAGACCCCTCTTTCAAAGTCACTGAAATCTCTTTTTCTAGCCATGGTAGCCAAAATATTGGGCATTTTTTACATGACCCTAAGCATGATGGGATGTTAATTGCTTCGTTAACTTAGGAACCACACCTGTGTGGAAGCACCTGCTTTCAATATACTTTGTATCTGTCACGATCGTTATAAACAGCGGACCAAGGCGCAGCGTGGTAAGCGTACATATTTTATTAAATGTACAACACGAACAAAAACAACAAATGATACGATACGTGAAGTCCTAGGTTAATACACCAAAACAAACCTTACGGAACAAGATCCCACAATAAACATGTGCCAACAGGCTGCCTAAGTATGGTCCCCAATCAGAGACAACAAGCTACAGCTGTCTCTGATTGGGAACCACCCTGGCCAACATAGAAACTAAACTATCTAGAACACAACATAGAAAACTATAACATAGAAAAATCCACACCCTGGCTCAACATATGAGTCCCCAGAGCCAGGGCATGACAGTATCCTTCAATTACTTAAGTGCTTCCT